ACCCATTTTTTTATAGGACATAAGAAGTTTCGTGAAAACCCCTGGTTGTTTAAAATTGTAATGAGTTATACCACGTGCAGGGACTTATGTGGGTCAATGGTCGAACTACTTTTGTTTCCATGGCACAATCGTAAAACACGATTTTTTAAGTATATAAAACAAGAGAAAAGGTTGGACAAGGAAAAGGAATTAAAGTCGCATCACCGACTGTTGATCACCCCAGACGAAACCAATAAACTCATTTATGCTCGTCACTTAATGACAATAGGAGCCACCAAGTGACCGTATGATCCCGACGTGCTATGAACCTTTTTTGACTCGTAACGCTAAAGGGGGGGGGGGGGACGCTATATATTAAGAGGCGGCTATACTTTTGTATGTCTTTACACTTCTTTTATGACAAACAAAAAAAGACGTTTCGTAGGAAAGAACTTGAAATTACGATATGTTAACCATAAAAAAATTGATATAAATTGCGTTTACTTCCTAAAATCACTGCCTTCAGTACCTTAGGAATTTCAATAGTCCCGTTGGTTCGACTCGATCGAGCCAGATCGTCGCGGTTTGAGACGGGACCTCTTTGTGTACTTTTGGGGGGATGAAGTAATTCACAAAAATGAAATTAGTGTGGCCCAGGCAAACGGAAACCCTCTAAACTAACACCAAACGGACACGTCGTCTCGAACGGTACAGTGAGTGAGTTTCATGGGACTGTACTCCGTCGCGTTCCAAAAGGAAAGGTTGTGTAGCAGGCGTGCTATATAGTACGTTGGCACTGGTCAAACCTCCAACTAAAACAAATGTAACACGCAAGGCCACTACGTCTACGGGACTTTTAATCCATAACACGTCGGAATTTAGATAAATGTACTTCCACTGTGACGAGATGAAAAAAGTATGTTGTGGTTGTGACTGAAAGACGTGAAAACTAGTATTTGGTGAAAACCTAATGTACTGGGTAAACAATACGATGTACAAAAACAGGAAGACAGTCGATCCCAACATTTTGTACCTAGTATATAAAGCACAACCAACGTTCATGTCCATAATTTACCGTGTTCCTGTTTCAAATAACACTGTATCAATTATTCTAATTCAGACCTGAACGAACGGACGAAGACTGACCAAATACAATGTGTCCAAACAAACGAATTTTAATCTGAGTAAATGGCCATTGATATTCAATGTAGAATGAAACGCGTTGTTACTATTAGGTAAAAGACTACATTATAATAACTTTGTGTACTCTGGGAGTTTGTCCCTTTCATTTTCATCAAACCAATACAGACCGAATCTTTCAACCTCCAAAACGTTGGACAGTGGACGTCGAGAAGCAGCTTGTGCAGTGGCACGATGTCATGAAGGACGTTATAAAGTTTGAGCGACAGTTTTCTACGGATAAGCAGAACAAAACAGTTGTACTTCGAACGTCGTTATACTTTACAAGGTCTACCTTACATCGTCAGGAATTACGCCGTTAAGAAAGGTCCTTAAAGCGGTTTGGTCAAACTCAAATCAGGCCCTTGGTGGATTTAATTTCGGCCGGCAGGATAATTTTTAATCACTATTAGATCTGGCCCGTCGGTATATTGCGCACTTGCACCCAAGATGAGATGCCAAGTAACTGGCTTAGTGTGCATTAGGGCTGAACGATTAATCGATTTTAAATCGAAATCGCGATTTTAAATGATGCGATTATCAAATCGCAAAGCCTGCGATTTTTTTAACTTTTTTTTCTTCCATTGTTAACCAATCAGAAGTGGCCCATTGAAGGTGATAGACAGATTGATCCAATCACCTGGCAAGTATTTTTGAAAGTGCCTGCCCTTTCCAAATGGCTTCCAATGGAGCTTTCCTATATGGTTTGGTGAAACAAACCATCTGAGTAAGGTTAGTAATGCTCCATTACATGTTCTACATCTATTACAGGGTGAATCTTAAACTGAAGCTTGACTTTAAAGCAACCCAACGGAAGTTTCATGTAAGTTTAGTTATTTCACTCGTAGCTCGGGCTGCGGGGGTGCTAGAGACGGGAGCATGTTGATGCGACCTTCCTAGCCGGAGATATGGCCGCATTTTACAATAAACTTCCATTGGGTCGCTTAAAAACAAATATCGCAAATCGAATCGCAATCGCAATATTTGTCCGAAGAATCGCAATTTGATTTTTTCCCAAAATCGTGCAGCCCTAGTGTTCATCACAGAGCAGCAAACTGAGTTTCAATGGATGTTTCCTTCTGCACTTTTTTTCTTGCGACAACAGGGCATGTTTGGATTTTTTTTTTAGGGAAATAGTTTTTTGAAGCTGAAAAATCTAATCATAAGAATTGACTACGGGAAATCTGCAGATAGAGCCATAACAAATTAATGCAACTGATTATTTAATGTTTAATGTTGTTTTTATAGGCAATAATTTAAGCTTTGTTAGTTTGAGGTTTAATATGGGCAATAAGTTAATTTCAATAAGTTTTGCTATAAACATTGAACCAGTCCGGCCCTCGACTAGTACCGATTTTTTTATTTTGGCCCACTGTGTATTTGAGTTTGACACCCCTGCCCTAGATAAAACATTACAGCAGTTCACGCTATAATAACAGTTCTTATTTGGTTGAAAATGTAGTTAGCTTAGGCAACTGATGTAATGTCCATTTTGAATGTAGACCTACATATAACTGAAGCACAGCGCCAATGAAAAATAATGTAAAGTAAATAATGAAATTAGTTTAGTTTAATTGCTTCATTAGGTTTATAGGTTGCAGCCATGTAAGAGACAGCACTAAAATGAATCATACAGTAAGTCTTACATTCTTGAGACAAAGAGGCAATTTACCATTAAAGCTACTTAATTGCTGATAATTACAACAAGAGCGCTGGGATCAACAGATACAGATATAAACCCAGGACTCACTTTACAAGCCGGCCCAGGAGGCAGGTTTATTAACGGCCAAAATGCCTGTCTGCAGTCAGCATGACATACTGTACATTTTACTAAATTGCTGTATGTGGCGGGACCCAAAACAACATGACAACATATTTTTATTGAAAGTCAAGTTCCAGCAAAACTGTAAATATAATTTTCTTTTCTGCTTTTAAAAGATTTTGTATTGGTTCATTTTTCTTTCTCTGCTACATGCAAACTTTACTTGTATTCATTTTAACAAGGCGTGACCTGTTTTTAAATGTAAAGCCCATTCAGCTGAATGTCTTGTATGAAAGGTTCAATTTTGTTACCCTTCTCTGGTTCAAGGTCTTCTATCCACAGCAAGTTGGTCATTATTTAAACCAAAGCTGCATGGCTTTAGGTGAGAGAGGGCTGCAGATTAATGTTTATAGTAGAAGTTCACAATGTTAAAGCAGATATTTAAGACTACCACAGGTGCATATACTCAGTATCCCTTTCATCAAGAACAAAACCGAATGCATAAGCACCACAAACATCCTTCAAAATTATAAAGTTGAACTCAACACCCCTCTTAAGAATTACTTGTAATACATTTAACATGAGTTGGGATAAATGTACCTGAACAACTGGCAGCTAAGTGTATTGTGTAAATGAGAACTCTTCAGTAGGTTTCGCACAAGAGAGATTACCGACTTTATTTGCCAAGAAATTGAGACAAACTTGAGGAGAAGCTCGGAGGGGCCCTGTCATTTAACCTGGGTAAAGGCTGTTAGACAGATCGTTGTTAACTGAGCAATGAGAAACCAAAGAAATATGTTATGTGGATGCAGGGGCCTCACAGTTTGGTGGTTATTTTACAACCATTCCTTATCCAACAAACTCTAATCTCTGTTAAAATTAGAAGTTTCACATTAGTGTCCCTACAGGCCATGAGCAAATCACAAGCACTTCTTCTCACACCGAGCCTGACGGTGAATAATCGAAGCATGCAGCTTTCTCTGGAGTCTGCTGAAACCACTGTGCAACATACACCACCTCCAGAAAGACAACAACCAGAGGCCTGCACGACGAAGCCGGTTCAACATAACCTGGATATGTTTGAGTTACCTGGCTTACCTAATTCAAAACAAACGCGCTCTCGCTAAACTGTCCTACGACGCTGGTTATCAACTCGTTAACTCAAGCCAGCTTAGCCCTATCTAGTTAGGTACGCGTTCACATGAAAGGGGTGGTATTTGGAGCATTCGACCAATCACAAACATGGACAAGCGTACTGACATCGCAGCGCGTCATACTTCCTGAATGAAAAGTCAACTATATTATTAGACAAATATGAAGACGTTAAACTTTAAACATCCATGACATGACACTTTATCCAGGATAAAAGCAACATAGTTGCACCTGCAAGGTGAATACAGCTGTTAAAAGAAAAAGTGTTTGAATGCATACATTAACAGGTTTATGATATCACTGCCCCGTCTAAGACACGAGTGGATCTGACTTTAATTACATTTGACTCGAGTGTTTCGTCAACTTAATGTGTTGCTTAAAATAATACTTCTGCATACAGTATGTGACACTGTAACGGCCCGTCCACACGGCGGTGTGCGTTGAAGCTTCAATGCTTCTGCCCATTCACTTTGAATGGGGTGACGTCATGCTTTGCCGAACTGCTTTGTGGGAGCGTTGCTTCCCTTTGCTCGCTTCAAAAGTTGAGAAATGTTCAACTTTTGAAGCTTTGACGGAAGCGTCAGCCAATCAAATCATATGCCAGTACAAGCTCTAGCGAATCAAACTGCGTGCTTGTGTGTCCGGGGCGGGAGATTCATGTGATTGGTTGTTGGTCGAGTTTCAGACAAGCTCAAAGGCAAGCTTCAACGCACGCCGCCGTGTGGACGCTACGTAAGTGTTGCACGACCAGATACGGCTCAAGAAGCTGACTCAGATAAGGAAATATATGGTACATTTTTATGTGATATGATATGAATGACACATCGACATACTCACAGTGCCGCGGACTGTACGTAATGTTACTTTGATCCGGTTACTTATGTTGTGGCAGATAGTTAAGTAAGCTTTCTTAACGCTAATGTTATAATAGTCAGATTG